ATTTTTTAAATCGGACTAAAATGACGCCCACTTTTCATATAATGGTATACCTCAGAAACTTCGATATTTGATATTTCATACTAACAACAATCTCTTAAAAAAATCTTAAAAAAAAAATAAATATTATTGAGGAATTTTGGAAAATGGGCGTGGTACCACCGACTTATAACTGTGTAACGTTTCCTCATTAAGTCTGTGCTGTAAGAAATTTTCATTTTACAAGAAATCGGTTAAAATTCTAACAAGTTTTATAGCAATTATGTACATAAATATGAGAAAGTTGTACTTTGATTCAATATTTTCTTCGTTCAAGTTTTAACTCATTAAACCTCTCATTAGTTATAGTAACATTGAACCGCGAGCTGAGGAAGAGGCTCCTGCAGTAAATCGCGCTAGTTCAGAACTAGCGCAGAATTAGCTCATTAAGAGGCGGTACTGGTACTCGATCTATCCCAACGCAATGCTTTCAACTGCCTCTTTTTTTTATATGGCGATGTCCTACGAAGCGAAAATTGTGCGCCTCTGCATAATTTTTGAACTATGTAGTTCTGAACTGGCTCCATTTTGGACAGATCTGCGACAATAAGTTTCGATTTTTTGGGATTTTTCCCGTTTTTTATTTTCTTTTACAGATTGCTTTTTATTTCATTCTTCATTATTTTTTACCTTATTTATATTAAATTTGATCAATATCTCTTCNACCAGTGTTGCCACGGACAAATATTTTTTTCCTACAAAAACCTACCAATACTTTTTATTTTTTTTATTTTTTTCCCAAAGCCAAGTTTATTAAAAATTTAGGTAACATAACATTTACTAAAACACAGCTAATACAATAAAAACAAATTAGCTGCGTGTAACAATTCATTTTACGGTGCGGACTAAAAAAATGTATGTCTCTTTACACCGCCAAAATAACGTAAGCGACATTTTTTTCAAAATTTTCTTTTTGATGCAGAAATATTCCTAGAGCGTCTAGATGCATTTCTGCAACAAAAATAAAATTTTGAAAAAAAATTTCCCTTACGTTATTTTGGCGGTTAGGGCTCGATATTATTATTATTGCTTTTATTGCGACCTAAAAATATCTATTAGCGTGGGCAGACACAAACGGTTCGGGCCCCCACCAGTGCATTTGGGATCCACGCTTTGCGAGATAGTCAGCCCTTTTGTTGCCTTCAAGCATTTCATGTCCCGGAACCCACCACAGCGTTACGCTATAGTGGGCTCCCAAGTGGCTCAAAAGGAGTTTTAAGCCCGTATGCAAGCCTTGATGCCGGGGGAAATTTTCCCAGCAAAATTGCGTAAAATATCGAATGAAATTTCTAAGTTTAACTTCGGGGTCGTAATAATTTATCTCTCAAAGAAACTTCTACCTTGGCTTACATTTTTGTTGTTCGCTGCTGCACGCAAATCACAAAAAATACAACATATATTGCATTTTTCATATTGAGGGGTTGGAATATTTTTGTCGTTTTTTTATACAGTGGAATCATGTTTCTCGTCTCAAAATCTATAATATTAGTATAATGCAGAATACAAAAATTTTTTTTTAACATATCCGTTGGATTTTGCATGTTTTTTTTTAAAGATCACTATTTTTGACCAATTTGTTTAAGGTCAAGAGATGATTGTGGCTCAATGGCAATATTTTTCCTTGAAAGACAATTACATTAGCTTTCAAAGCCATTTTTTTCATATCAAAATATTGCTTCTGTCGAAAGCGCTACGATTAATTGGCATGAAGTGTTAAAAAACACACTGGGAGTTAGCTTGCATATCTTATTTTTTAGTCGAGAAATGTAATTTAGAAATTTTTAAAATACCTACGGTGTATTTTTCTCAAAAACATATGACTCAAAACATATGATTTATAAAAATATAATTCATTTATAAACAATATATAATATAATAAAATAAAATGTCATTCATACTTGGGCGTACACAATTTTTTATTCTGATAGTATCTGTATAAAATATGTATGTATATAGCCACAGAGTTGGTCTGGGATCCACTGGACACCGCATGACCATTACGGGTTAAAATCAAAGTTTGGATAACCAAGCAAAGAACTCTCTAACAAAGTAAACGCTACGTATTTCACGAGATTTGGAAAAAATTCCTTAGTCAAATCATTTGTACGTAGTTTGTATGTTTTTGCAGTTGTGCTCTAATTTATGAGCAAATACTAAAACGCATGAAAAAATACGTAAAAAATAAACAGAAAATGCATGGATTTCAGCTTGTTAATTACACGCTAAAACACTTGAGGCCAGTCCTTTTGGTTTAGTTCTTTTTGTTCTGGTATATACATACAGACATGCATACATACATATAAACATGTACTTACATACATATTTATATATGTGTATGCATAGTATGTATAACATTGTACATAAATCTACATATATTTTGCCCCCAGCTTTACTAAGATGTTTCTTATATATTTATCAAGAGTCAGCTACAACAGTAGTGGGCAAAACCACACTCACACGGCGCAGTTACTCCCTAAGGCGCAACTAAAGATGCCAAGTACAGACAAAATACTTTAATTCCTAATAAGCTTTGTACGTGAAGGCACTCAAGCGTTAAGTTTGTCCACCACAAGACAGACAGCCCGATATTACAAAAATAAGTATAGTAACAAGCTGAAAGAAAAATAAGCACCGCAAAACACAAAACAACAACAGTGCAAAAAAACGGCCGAATGCTAGCATATTGGGAAAAATTTCCTACGAAAAAAATCGAATATTTGAGCCTCAAATCTCCATTGTCTGTTCTATGCTCGTCTCAGTTGCCAAACAGCAGCATCCTCTGCAACAGCCATAAATATCAAATGTAACAACAAAAGCGGAGCGCGCGCGCACATAAATTACAAATTAACATACTTAATGTAATTACAAACGCCACCATTCTCGCACGCAGCACGCATTTACACGCTAAGCTCACGCCTTCGCCTGCCAGCACTTCCATCATCAATACATACTAGCAGGCAGAGCAGAGCAATACATACCACCAATGCAGTCGTTGGCAGGATTCACTGCTGTCCGCCATTACAGGCTAATATGCTGCCTAATAATATTGCTTGTCTTGTTGTTGCATATCTTGACCAACAGCAATGACAGCGTTTACAATAGCAATAATAGCAGCAACAATGTCAGCAACACAAGTACGCAGCCGAACAGCGGTTTTCGAACGCAAAATTGCAATAAATTAAATGAAAATCCCAACAGTCAGCAGGAAGCGCCTCAGCCACCGTCGCCCTACCACAAGCGAGCAAGTGTTGATGACATCGTTGGCGGCGCAGTCGGTGGTGGTGGTGGTTCACTCGGCGACCACAACAATTTGCCCAAGTCACGCATCGCTGCCGGACGCGATGGTGGAACAACAAATTGCGCGCCAACAAATGCTAGTCAACACGCAGACCACAAGTCAATTGGCAGCTGCAAAGGAATGAAAGATAATAGGAGTAAAAAAGGGTGGCGCGTTAACAGTGAAGCATGTAACAGCGTGCTTATTAACAGCTATAATGGACGTGTTAAACGTATAAACCAAATCAATACAAACTTACTGCCGCAGAGGAGGAATAAAAGAGTGATCATTTTTAGTGGGGGAGGTATTGTAAAGGTATGTATAATACACTTTGAAATTTTAAAATATTTTGTAAATTGATTACCCAACGCAACTCAAACCAAATTTTGTGGGCTATTTTAGCACTTAGGCTACATTATTGTTCAAATTTATAGAATTTTTATTAGTCCTCGCCCTAACCATGTGTTTCTCTAGTTTACATATCTCATTTGAAAAAAGGTTATTGATTACTCTGCTAAGAGAGCAATTAGTTTGTTGCTTCGAACTTCGGACTAAAACCTGCGAAACTGTGAAACAAAAATTTTACCCTCTCAAGTGAGAGTAAACGGAGAACATATGCAGAAGTGTACGGGAACGCAAAAGCACTATTTCCTGCAAAAGCGTCAGTCGGTTTGTTTACATCGGTCATTGGTACAACACTGATTTGACTGAAATATCCCTAAATAATTATTAAAGTCTCTACAACTAAAAATTATTGGGTACATATTCAAATATTTCGTTGTTTACTTCTATTTTTAACAAACATTTTGCTTTCACCGCGTTCGGTTTTCGTTTACAAACTCAACCCTGCCTATCGTTTGACAATTTTCATGAACTTACAGGAAGAAAAACTCCGGACTAAATCCTTAAACTCCTGACTAAGAAGAGATGCTCATTTAATTTGTCAGAAGTGTTACCAGTTATAGGTTTTGTTGCCGTAAATTCTGACTAAATCCTGTAAACTGGACCCGTATTGGAACAGACTGAATGTTACTACAGTTCTGTTGCCAAAGTATTTTACATACGAAAGTTTACAGAACATTAGCAGAGCAGTGTTAGTCTGGCAATCATACCGTCGAGGACATGGTTAGGTTATGTTATGCTGGCTGACCATAAGAGGTCTAGATGAATATAACGTCCATAGTGTTGCCAGATACGTTTACGACCCATCAATCAGTCGCGAAATGTTAAAGAACATTTTCATTCCTTTAGCAAATTTAATAGACACTTTGGTACTCTGTCGATTGCTGAATGTAGCTCTGCAGCTTTAATGTAATGACACGATTATTTGTTAGTGCCCGACTTTGTCATTTTTGCCTTTTAATGCCTAGTGGAAATCCAGCATAAGACCTAATTTAATTGCATGTGCTGCTATCAAACAATGCCCTGTTAGCAATCCTTCCAGAAATCTGGAGTCGGTTCTTCTTGTTGATAGTAGGTATGAATTACATATAATCTTTGCAAGCCTGCAGCCCTGAGATCTTTTCCAAAACCTATCCGCCTAGCGGTTTACGAGCAGATCTTGCGATCTTTTGATTTCCCAAAGAGGAATTGGTATACATATTCGTCACTAGTGAGGCATCTAAGAGAACGTCCTCCTTGGCTAGCGCGGCAGCTCTCTCATTACTTTCCACACCTATGTGGCTTGGACCCAATATAGGTTGTCGATTTCAGCCACTAAGAGTCTTCTTATAGCCTCCATACAGTCCGCGGCGGTAATCGAATTTGTTTTATATGAAATTAGAGCCTTAGTGGCCGCCAGCCTATCTATCCCTGTGGCGAAAGTCTTTAGTTCTGAATTGGTTCACTCCTAGTACATTAAGAACCACGCGATAAGTTCGCGATAAATTTATTTTGCGTGCAAAAAACTGCATTGATGAGACTTGCTTAATATTTTCATTGAATGGGCATTAACGTGGCGACTTCTAAATCCTGCGCACAACGATCTTCTGTAATCATTTTGATTGAAAATACATTCTAAACATTCCCGTTTCACCAAAACGGATTTCCTATAGCTCAGACATTACTGACTTCGGTGGACCCTTAAGGCGAATAATTCGCAGTGACCTCATTAAAGCTATATCTCATTCTGAGGAGACCCAAATCTTCACACGGGCTAGTTACAGAATCGGGGACATGCGTTTCTTATGTTGCTCAGAGTGAACTAACGGAGTCGGACGCACAACTATAGGAGTCGAGTAACTATAACTGCATGACTAGAAACCTCGTTATAACCCAGGCATTCTATGATTATGAAAGGTATACCGATAGTGATAGCGATAACCATACAGAATGCGTCAAACGTTTATTTACTAAACTCACTAAAAAGTTTCTGAGTCAAATATGCATATGTACATACATACTTATGTAGAACGTTATTACAAAGCAACAACAAATATAAAAAATCCCTTTCTACTTTAAGCTCGTCATGGGTGTGTCCTTCCCAATTATTCTTGCCGACAAGCAGCGCTCTTTTTCGCACTTCTACAATCTGCAATGTCAATATCCACCGCCTATGCGACCAATTTATTGGTGGAATTATTTTGACTCCAACACTTTTGCAGCGCGTCGTCAGCAGCGATACATAGACGGAGATCTCAAAGAAAAATTACATCAACGTTTAAAGCACGATGCGAGTCGCGAGTTCATTTACACAGCGATCGAGCAGATCTATGAGCAGTAATATCTTCGCTAATTTCAATTAAAAATAAAAATATGTAACTACATATGCACATACATAAATACATATAATACAATTTTTATCGTTGCAGGCACGGCTTACCAGGAGATTCGTGTCTAATGCAAGCGATTTGTGAGGTTTCACAGCTGCCATTTCATGTACCACGAATTTGGCAAAATCATTTGGTTCACCTGTGGCAAGCGCTCATTAATGCGATATTGATGTAAGTGTAACTGTTGTTGTGGTGGATAAGGGAACTGTGTACTTAGTACTACTTACATGTCCTATTTAATACATATTAAATTTACAGTCCGACTGTACCCAATGTGGCTATGCGTTATTTGCATGCCAGCCAAGCGGGGCGGTTTGGCGTTGATTGCCAGCAAACATTTAGTGAATGCCCACAAAGAGTAAATGGATGGCTTAGAAATGTGGCGCACATGGAGTGAGGAGAGAAATTCATCATTAGTAAAGCAAAAACTGAACAAATGTTAGTTTATAAAATAAATATATAAATTAATTTAATAATTATAATTTAAAATACATACATACATATGTACTTATTTATATGTAAATAAAGCAAGAAAAATACATGCATATGCATACAGCCCGCGACATAAGATAACACATCAACATTTTTACCAGTTTTGACTACTTTTCTTTTGCTTTTTTTAAGGTTCATTAATTTTTTATTAAAGTTCAGAAACAAAGTTCTAACCAAAACCATATAAGTTCAGATTTCAAACTTTGTATAAAAATTTCACAAACTTTTCATCCCAACTCCAAATATTTTAGTTAAGAATTTCTAAACTAATTTTTGGTATGCAGTTTTATAGCTTATTAAAATTTACTATAATTAACTGACGGTTTAAAGCTGCTAAAAATCGCGTTGGCTTTTTAGAATTTTTTTCTGAGGGTTTTATGCACTCTTTTTCCATGTAAAAAACTACTTTGCTTGGAAGAAAATGCGTCATACCGTCAGCAAGAAAAGTATCAAAAATCAACGCTAATTTTTGGCAGCTTCAAACTTGCACTTTATTACGCTATAAAACCGCATACCAAAAATTAGTTTAGAAATTCTAACTAAAATATTTGGAATCGGGATGAAAAGTTTGTAAAATTTTTGTGCAAAGTTTGAGATTTGAACTTATGTGGGTTTTGTTAGATAACGGCCTGAACTTTAATAAAAATTTAATGAGCCTTAAAAAAGGGAAAGGAAAATTAGTCAATGGTAAAAATATTGATGTGCTATCTTTTGTCGGGTTCTGTATTAAAATTTAAATTTAAATTAAAATTAAAATTAAAATTAAAATTAAAATTAAAATTAAAATTAAAATTAAAATTAAAATTAAAATTAAAATTAAAATTAAAATTAAAATTAAAATTAAAATTAAAATTAAAATGCTTGGAATTGGGTTGAAAAGTTTGTGGAATTTTTATTAATTTTTGTACAAAGTCTGAAATTTGGATTTATATGTCATTTCTTAGATAAAGTGCTATAATTTTATTAAAAAATAATAAACATTAAACAAACAAAACGTTACATAAGGGTGAAAAGGTGCCAAGTTCATATTTTGGAAATTATTCAGGGAAGACGAAAAATCGATGTAGTTTCGTATTAAAGCATAGGCAGACGGCAGCGTCGATCCGGAGCTACTCATTACGTCAGAATTATCTCGGGAATTAACTGCAGTTGATCCGGATTACGTCCTAGAGTTAATTCCCAAATTTAGCTCGGATCAAGGGAATTTTCGATGACAGCACTGACCAAAACTCAGAGAGCAGAGCGTAGAATAGAGAGAGAAGTTGCAATTGAATGAAATTAAATTAATACTCTACTGCCGTCTTCCAAGGTACAATTTCGATCAGATCAATTGCGCCGTTAATCCAGATCAACGTTGCCGTCTGTCTATGCTCTAACCTGCCATTCCGCATCAAAAACTAAATTTAAAAAAAAAATGGAAATGGAAAGGTGCCAAACCTTTTCACCTTTAATTAGCGAAAAGATAAATTGTCAAAATTGTTCAAAATGTTGAGGTGCTATAGTTTTGTGACGAGCTGTATCTATCTTTTTATATGAAGTCTCTTAAAACAGGAAAATCACGAAAAAAGATGTTAAAGTATATATTTTAAAAGTTTAGTAAAACTTTCGATGCTCAGGGAGTATTTTTCTTGTTAAAGAAAATAACCCTGATATTATTACGATTTTAATTAGAGCTGAGACTATCTGTTTACTCGAATATCCAGATATCCGTATATCCGTCCGGATATTCGTCTGGATAATATATGGATAATCTGGATATACAAATAATATCCGTTTTATTTTGATATTCATGGCTTTATGGCCTTAATATTCAGATAACCGAGTGATATCTGTTCATCTTGTTATCCGGATAGCCAAATATTTATTCAGCTTTTTTAATCGGATATTCGAATATCCCTATGGCACATTCAAAAATGATCGGATAGAGCGCCCAGCCCTAATTTTATACTTTCTATTTCAATTTACTTATACAAGGTATCGTACACCACTCATTCACCCCTTCCAAAATGGACGAAATAATCAGGCAGGTTCTGCAATTAAATTCCGAGTGAATTTTAAGAAAATTCGCTTTGAATTCATATTGGCAGGGGTTGGAATACACACGGAATTGAATTGCAGAACCTGCCTGAATATTAATCACCAAGTCGTGGAAGCTATATCTTGTCGTATTACAGACTTTCGGTTTCGCCCGGTTGTAGGTGAAACTGATAGGAAGTAATTTTTTTTTTTTAATAGGGCATACATGTTTTTACCACAGATTCGGATTTACCGGACAAAATACAAAACTTGTGTCGGAAACTTTTTTCTGGAATAGACTTCCGTTTAAAATAACGCACTTTCTGTCAGTTTAACTCACTTTCGACTGTTCGTGTTCCAATTAAATCATTTTCGTCCTTTTTAGAAGTCGAGGACGGGTTGAATCTCGAAGGTCATTTTGAGGATGAAAAGAGTACTTCCAAGAAAAAAGTTTCAAACAAAAGTTACGTATTTTTGTACGTAGAATGCAAGTTTGTGGTAAAAGCATGTATATATATCCCATTTATTTCGGTCAGTTCAACCCACTTTCGGTCGAATCCCGACGTCGGTAATACGACCAAAGTAAAGAGCATGCCCGACTTGGTAGTTCAACAACATTTTACTCCATTTATAAGGGGTGGGCAGGTGGTCCAGCACACCCTGTACACATTATTAGGACTTCAAAATATCAGTTGTCGTGAAATATTACATTAGTTGTTGATAGATAGTTATTAGTTGACGTATGCGTTGCGGCCAGGAGATGCTTTGTGCCCTATTGCTGACACAATGGAAGTATTAGAGAAGATAAAGAAGCCGAAACCGCAGTTAAAGACAATGCAATTGTTGTTCCACCACCTGACCACGATAAAGTAAGAAAAGCAATAGGTCAGCTGAAAAACATTAAAGCCGTATTAATGTTTTGTCTACCGATTGAACTGGATCCATCTACGGTACCGAGGAACTATAGTTCAAATGTTCATAAGGAATACAAAGTCCCTGAATTGTCTTTGATATGGATAAACGGGTTGGTGCGGGTCTATATTCGGATTACATGTAGATGAGGCAATCATATCGCCTGCCTCAAGACTGTCGAATGCAAAACAAATAGTAAGTCGCTTCAGAAAAAGTCGCTATATTTGATGACAGCCAAGAGGCATTGAAAGGGTTAGAATTCAAAATAGTGAACTCAAGAAATTTGCGGAAGTGTCGCGCATGGCAAGCATCACTGTGTTACGTCAAGACCTCTCTCTATTGGATTCGTGGACTTAGAAATAATGAAGGCTCACCGCGAGGTAGACAGAGCAGAATAGCGAGGTGGATAATGCCCAACAATCACTGTTTAGTGATATAACGAAGAAAATTTACAAATTCAACTTAACAAGGATAATGAAAAAGGAATGAAAAAGAATGCCCAGCTCTGTAGAGATACATACGACTCATCAACTGGGGTTTGGCTCTCCAGGCATAGCGGAAGTGAAACTAGCTGGTCTCCTTAATGGTCTCTTCTGTAGTAAAAAGTCTGTCTGTCCACACTGTAATGACACTTTGGAATAACACCGATTAGAGGAAAAAAAGGCCTAAGACTGGAAGAACTAAGACCTCATACACAACTTGCTATCGTAATCTAACGATAAAGTATATTCAGGGATCGCTTGCAGAATATGACCAGAGGTCTCCATGTCCTGCATGTCCGACAACTGAAATTTAAGTGCGTTCAATCCAGTCCATAATCTGCGCCAACCATTCTGGAGTTAGTCTCCTCAGTATAGCATACAGGATTCAATCAAGCATTTTGGGGGAGAGGCTAAAACTCATCGTTAATACACTAATGGGAGCTAATCCACCATCGGCCAGATATTCACAATACCATGATAAAAACATAGCAAGGTAGAACCGTTCTCTCATTTTGTCGG